CCGACAACCAGACCGGTTTTCTGAGTTGTGACTTACCTGGAGTGTCCCGTGTCTTTACGGCGCCTAGGTCAAGTCAGTCGAACGGTATGGTGGAGTCTCTGCACCGCACGGTGCGTATGTGGACAAGGTCGGTCATGGCGGATGACAATGAGCTCGATATCGCGTCGGCGGTTGCCAAGGTCATGAGAGCTTACAATAACACGGTCCACAGTGTTACCCAGCGTATTCCTGCTGAGATGATGAAACTCGAGTCTACCGACGTTGAATGGCAGCGATTGATTGCCAAGTGCGTCGCTGATGCTGAGAGAAAGCTCGAGTCGTGTACATATCATGAATTATTCCCTGGCGCCATAGTGAGGATGCGTCAAGTGAATAAGTATGATAAGATTATTACTAAGACTATGGATATGCCATTCAGCGAGAAGCGATGGAGAGTCCTGGGATTCATCAGCAGCTCGCGTGGTTTGGTGACGACTTCTCCTAACGATGATTACGGCCTATTTCGAAAGGCTAAGATTATTTGTGATAAAGAAGTCAAAGTTGTCCATGTTTCGAGACTGACTCACTGCAAGCCTGGTGAAGTTGATGTGCAGGACCTGAGGCGAGCCATGCGCCGCATGACTCGTGATAGTCCGCAGTGAGTACGTGATAGCTGGTTTGTCCTAGTTATTCGCTTAATTTTATAGTTCTTCATTCTGTGGCAGGAGGGCGAATGCTCTGATAGAGTGGTTTGCCACAGTTTGTGATTCTTAAGTACCCTTTGTTGTGCGTAGTCGTGTGCGCACAGTATCTTGCGCAGTACTGATCGATTATCCATAGCTGTTCGGTATTGCACGCACGCACAGGTGGTACATATGTTATACCCCACTCTAAGTGGACTAGCGTTGCTAGTGAGCTTGACGGTACACACATTGCTACATTTGTGATAGACATTTTACGTTAGGGCCAAATGGTAGGTTAGTGTGGCCATATGTGAGCGTTGCCTCAAGGGTTGCTAAGGGGCACTCGGTGGGCCTATTAGCTTAGAAGGGGGGGATACCTTGGATTCTTCAGACGTTCCCATCATAATAGAAATGGGCCGATCTGCTAAAGCAACACGACAGACGTCTTATGAGAAGGTGAAGAAGCTCCGTAAGAGTAGGGAATGGAAGAAAAGCGGATCAAGAGTAATAACGAGGGTTACCGGTATCTACTATCGAGTCATCCGCAATAACATTGTGGCACTTGCCATGACTCTATACATTCCCTTGAGTATTAAAACGCTGATATCTGAGTAGAGATACTGCACAACTCTGAGTCGGAGAGATAACTGTTCCGTCCGATAGGGGTTATAGGGAATGTTGCGATCCGCACTATCCGGAAGCATGTTTGACCTTATCACACAGTGTATTATCTACGATACATATTACGGGCGTCTCCAGCTAGCACGTCAGAATACGTTTGCATGTATAAGTGTATTGGCATGACCTATTGTATTATATACGTATTGTTGGAAGTCAGCTCTGAGAGCATGCACGTTATTTCTAAAGTTTCCCATGTTTTGGGATGATTGCACGTGCTTATTCGTAGCATTTCGTTCTCCTCCCACCTCCCTCTGGGCTTCTTACACCAACTATGTGATGGAATAAGTGAATGGTGGCTTCTATTAATATTGTCGTTCTAAGCTGTTTACATCAGGCTATTCGCAAAGAGAAGAAGGAATCTGCTCGGGAAGCGAAACTTGAAAGGGAGCAGGAGGAGGTGCCTGTCATCGAGTCGACTGAGGATTTACCTCATGCTGGAGATAAGGCTGATATAGATATGTAAAAGATGACCTCTATTGGGAACGTAAATGAACAATGGCCCCTGTTTCATACTACTGCTCAAGGAAGCATGTTGCTTTTATAGTATCCTTACACGGGTCGTGTTTGCTTTCATTATACTGCTTTCTGTCTCGACGACGATGACAGTATTAGGATTGACGATCCTCCATCACTACTCAACGCAAGCATTGATAATGATAATAATCATGATAAGCCATACATCGGTGACAAGAATAATGAACTAGGACAATGTCATGTAAGACATAATGGTATCCTGTCTAACTGTACGCCATTGTTCGAAAGCTGATCGACTGATGTATCCAGCTCCGTCAATATCGAGGAAGTAGAATAGTATCTGATCCAGCAATTCTGAATCTACTCCCATGTGTATTGTTCTATTACATTCACAGCATCTGTACTCGTTGTAAACTTGGCCGTTCTTGCTGCAGCCTGTAGTTTAGTCAGGGTTACTCTACCACTAGAGATGCCACAGGCCTTGTCCAGATAATCATATGCATCATTAGTGGAGCTGAGGCCTTTCATCCACTCTTCGAAGGCTGATGTATACCTAGGTAATATCGCGATACCATTGCACCTCGTCTATTCAACCTTACTCGTAGACTTCCTTCAACCATGCGTGAAACTCCTGTGTTTTCTCTTTGCTCATAGTAGATGATGATTCCGCAGGGTGTGTGTTTCCATCCTTCTGATCATGTTTTTCAGTTTTCTTTTGTTGTACTCTTTTCCGCCACTTGACAGCCGCTAGAACTGCTTTGCTAGTGAAATTTACCGGAGTTACTGCTCTCCTTGATGCTACTTGAGGATTCTCGTCATCCTTCTTGGACAGAGCCGTAGCATCATGGATGGTACTATCACCTTGTGGTACCACCACAACTGGGCTCACGTGCTCCAATGCTTCATCATGACTTCCCTCTATCGGAACAGCCTCGACCGGTTCAGCCGAACACCTACGAGCATGCTCTACTTCGGCGTGCTGTTCTGGTATAGCGTCTACTGATGTCACAAAAGTTTTACTCTCTCGAATGTGCCCTGAGAAATGTAGTAATCACTATAGTAATCAAAATGTACCCATCATCCTTACGCCACTCTGAGATGAGGTCTGCGGCAATGTCACACTCTTCAAAGTTGGGTGGTATGGCAGACGACTGATGCCCTACGCTGATCTTCGATGTACACACTAACGGGCTTAAGTGTTTTCTCACGAAGTGGATGTATCTACATAGAACCACAACATCATATCCTCCTAGTTACCTATACCTTACGTGTCAACTAATGTCCTACTACCACCATGACGGTGTTCTCCCTCTTTCTGTACGGGATAACAATAGTTGGCGATCATTGCTATAGCTCTCTGGAAACCTTTGAGTCTAATCCTCCTCATGCCACCAGGTAGGAGGCAACGACAATGCACACTGGTGGCCACCGATGACCCTACAAACTGAGACACGGGCGAGATAGTGATGAGTCAACACTAACGTGAGTGATGGTATTACATCCAATACACCAGCCTGCTTAAGAAGACGCCTCCAGTGTGTCTCTCCGATGCCTAGTTTACATTGGTTCATACATATACCAGAATATACATCGAACACACATTGCTCTGCTGCTGCTAACTGTTCGAGTTTTGATATCCCTTTGTGCGACGACGATTCGTGATGTCTATTGATGTCATGTTCCTCCAGATTGTACAATTTTCCATCGTAGCCCCGCATCGTACTATCCTCTGATGTTGCACCAGTACCAAAGCATGAGAACGCCATGCAAACACAAGATGGATAAAAATAAAGCAATGGATAGACCAATTCATAGAGGTCTTGCAAACTCGTCCTCACTTAGTGATTTCTCAACGTAAGACAGACGCCTTGAGCGCGGAAAGAGCACATTGACAGTGACAAGACGATTCAGTAAGTGACCATCCGAACTGCTAAGAGGCTCTTGAGGCCGGCATATGACCATGTGGGAGCGACAGGGAATCATGAATGTGGAAGTTAACGAGAGTGGATACTCGTACACCTCATGTTGACATGAAGATATCCATTCATAGCTATCATTGCTCTCATCCTCCTACTTACAGATTGAACAACATGTCGAACTCGAGGCATTAGTGGATAGTGGCTCCCCGTCCAATGCTTCTCGTGAAGTCCCTCATAGATATAATTGGCCTCCCGAAGACGTGTCACATCTTTCCTATTATGGACACTGTACAATGGTGTATCGGCTCAGTAGGCTTGATGTACCCCAACCGCATGCCAGCTGTGCCACTATAATCACCAATCATCATCCCGATAACCCGTGCTCACAACGAGAGGAGAACAACTTATAACATAACTATTACAGTGTGATCATCCACCACGGTGGAGCTTTCTGTATGAGGATGTGTATAGGGTGGGAGGAGTGAGTGAAGTTTGATGTGAAGTTGAGGGAACTCCGTCGTAAGGCACGCATCCCAGAGAGGAGAGCAATTGATGAAGAGTGATGCCAAGGGCACATCATGTAGTCATAGTGGTGGGTTTCTGGTATAATGTTATGAACGGGTTTAGGTTGATGAATGATAGTCGGGGTGGGTCGTAGGGGTCAACTCGGTGGGGTGTACTGGATATCTCAGCAGTCTCTGTAATGCTCAGTGAGCCATCTCAACTAGGGATGGATATAGCATTGATATAACATACGGCTGAGGATCATCATAATAGGGGATGTTGGGTCAGTAATTCTACGATGGAGTATTCAGCGACCATTCCGAGCACAGTATTGGTATGGAGTTCGGTGTGACGTGTCGGTAGCCATACTTGGGAATAAGAAAGACATTGGGTCTGATCAACGAGATGTGTGCCACTACCGTTCGGGATGGATAGTATAGAGTTATTCATGGATTGACACTTGTAACGAGTAATCATATTATGTGGAGTAACATAATGATAGAGGGTTGTATCACCGTAATGCTATCATTGAGCGATACGTACTAACCGTCAGTCCTAACATTCTGATGTCAATATCTAGTTCAATCATAAGAACATCACCAGCCCAGTCAACTGTAGACGCCAGTGCTGTTGCCGCTGACCATGATGAGGATCTACCATACATGTCCATGCATGGTAAGTATCATGTATCGTTCATATGATGTTTCCTTCAGCAAAGAGTCGATTTTTCGTTGGCCGTGTTAACCTCGAGAATGGCATTGCAACTCTGATAACGTAGTACCTCGTCACTGCATCGACATCACAGGTATATGTGATGGAGTAGATACGATCACCAGTCAGTCGAGCTACCTCTATCACTACTACCGGACCCATTGGTAGTAGGAGAAGTTGTAAATATGAAGGTGACGTAGTTGTGGAGTGATGAATAGCAGAATTGATGTTATCAGGTATACCGAGACCCCTCTGCTGAGGATAAGAGGATGCAGAGGATATTCCAATTACAGAACGATATCGCAGAGTACATGTATCATAGTATAAAAGAATTGGATCATGTAGCCTGTCTAGATATCTCAGAGATAAGGAAACACTGGACCAAGGAGATGATGCTCTCTGATTCTCGCCAATTTGTAGTGATTTCACGAGTGTTGTGTAATGGAGTAATGTTTCCGATGTAACGTCATTCTCGCAACGCAGAGCTATCAGTTTCAATAACACACGCATCAGAAAAACCTTCCGGTCGTCTTAGCGTCAATTGAGGAACTATCAACAGTCTATTCCAAACGATGAAACATGCGATAGGGCATCCTTCACCTATCAGAGGTATTCTGCTGTACATCACCAAATACTTGACCATCCTGTATCGCTCTGGCTGCAGTCTTCTGGGCCTCTAACCGTTTATCAAGCCGCGCCTTGGCTGCTTCTGCCTTTCATCTGCTGGGAAGATAAAGGCACGGCACCTAATGTCATACTACCTTTCCTGCTCAATCCAATCGAAATCATCGGGCCTCAGCTTATACATGGTTCCTGCAGTCAAACCTGTGAATGTGAATAATAGTAGATATATTGACGACACTTACACGCCATGAATAGTATAATGGCCCATGTGAAAAGGAAGTGAGCTAACTCGTCGGGAAATCTTCAAGGTCGGCCTCTGAAGAGTGCGAATCCTCAACAACATGAATAGGAGACTGATAACCTCATAAACTTATGGAAGTCCTCCCGAGGCATGTCTGTTTGGTTTTGAGGGGCGGCAGCAGGCCGACGATAACCATGCAAAGTAGTTACACGGGGACGATGCGCCTCAACCTGATGGCCCATCAATGATGGGACAAGTACCACAACTTTGACACCCTTTGAGGCTACCTCTTCTCATGGATCTATAGACCTAGCACTGAAGGTTCTCCCAAGGATGACGGTATGGTCTCGGCCCCTCCTCGTGCCTCGCCTTACAGACCACATGCCAAACATATCGATTGATTGGGCGTACGCAAGTGTAGTGATTTGAGATCGGGTGCTCATCTACTCCGGCCTCGTGACACATTGATCATTGCCGATCTCTAGAGCATGGACCCACGGAGGGATATCAGATACTATCGAATGCCCATCGACCCTCGATGCCCCTGTTTGGGGAATCAAATTGTAGGATCATCTGCTCTTTCGAACTGCTACATTATGTCCCTCTTGATGTCATCAAGAGAGACATAATGTAGCAGTCATGTGCATAATGTGTCATCAAGTTCATGATGGTGGCGGGTAGTACACGCTAGGTCCTGTCATGGTTGTGGTAGTTCTTCTTATCGTGCATGTAATTGCCTTCACTTTGACTGATTATCCGGATCTCATTGGAATATCACCTGTTGAGTTGGA